GGTATTTGGGGGGATGCGGGGCGGGGGAGAGGAGTGGGAGTGTGCTTGCTATACACACTTCACTGTCTGCTAACAAGAAGGCTATTCTATTCAAATGTATTCAGAAGCCCCAAACGTCCATCAAACCAGAGGCAGGGAGTCTCTTTTCTTTTAAATATGCAGTAACACAGTACCGGTGTTTTATTTCTTCTCCAACCCACTCTTCGGTTTCTACAAAACCATTCTCTTTAGAAACTAAAATTTCAGTGTCGTAACAAAAATCTGCTGAGACAGGGTTTCTCCTGCCACAAGGGTTCAGAGTTTCTGTTATCTGTGCCAATAACTCACCTTCGTCCCTCCCCCACAAGCTTGAGGGTGGAGACTGACAGATAGTAAACGCCTTGGCAATGAATAAGTAACTTTTCCCCCTTATCTCTCAAATACTTAAGCTCATAAAAACTTCATCGTTGATTCTTTAAAAACATTTTAAAGAATTTATTGAAGTAGAATTCACATAACATAAAATTAACCATCTTAAAGTGAACAATTCAGTGACATTTAGTACATTTATAATGTTGTACAACCGCCACTTCTGTCTAGGTCAAAACATTTCCATTACTTCAAAGTAAAATCCCTTTCGTTAAGTAGTTTCTCCCTATTCCTCCCTCCCACTAGCCCCTGATAACTACCAATGTGCATTCTGTTTCTGGAATTATCTATTCTGGTTACTTCATATAAACAGAATCATACAATATGTAACCTTTTGAGTCTGGCTTCCCTCAGGTAGTTTTTGAGGTTCATCTGCATTGTAGACTGTATCAGTACTTGATTCCTTTTTATGGCTGAATAATATTCGGCTATATATGTACACCACAGTTTTATATCCAGTCATCTGTTGATATACACTTAGGTGGTTTCCCTTCTTGGCTGTTTTGAATAGTGCTGCAATCAACAGGCATCTACAAGTGTGTTATTGAGAACCTGTTTTTAATTTGGGGGGATACATACCAAGAAGTGGAATTGCCAGGTCGTGTGGTAATTCTTATTTTAACTTTTTTTGAGGAAGCGCCAAACTTTTCTATAGAGGCTGAACCATTTGACAGTCCCCTCACCAATGTCTGAGGGTTCCTATTTCTCCATAGCCTTACTAACATTTGCCATTTTTAAAATGATAGCTCATCTTTGGTTCTGAATGCTGATTTCTACCCGTTTCTCAAATCCGATGATCCTCCTTTTGGTAATTCCCTGTGATTAGTCCTGTAATTAAACCAGATAGCCACAGGTTATTTCTGTTCTCTTGCTGAGCCTTCCTCCTCTCTAACGTTTGTAGCTCCCAAGGAAGCCTTTATCAACTTAAGCTATTTTCCATTCCTCTTCATGCTAAGTTTTTATATTCCTTTCTCTAATCTCCTTGCCTCCTTCCCACAATAATACCAGATAATTTCCTGATTAACTGACAGCCCATATACATAAGTAATACTAGGCCACAACCCTTAGCTCAATGTGCTTTGAAGGTGGAAGTAGTTAGTGGTGGTAGGTGGTGGTGAGAGATGAGTAGGGACTGAATGATATCTCTCAAGGGTGGGGACCATGTCTAATTCATGTTTTTATCTCTTTAACTCCTAGAGCAGTTTGTTATCATTAAAGATCTCTGGAAATTTTTTTTTAAAAAAGATCTCTGGAAATTTAAGAATCTTAGGGGTGACAGTGGTACAATTTTCCCCTCTAGTAATCTCTTACATACACTGACATTTAAAACTTTTGCTCCAATTTGTCTCACTCTGTTAGTCAACGTTAGAGATTCAAAATGTTAACTAGGGATAAGTGGATCCAAGGAAGTCTCTTTTGCTGGTAGCTAAATGCCTACAGGTAGTGATGAAGGTCGTGTTCTGGGGCTATATTCATGGCACACCTAGAGATAACATTCCATATTTCATAGTGAGTCCTATGTGGCTAAAGATGATCTGATATGCCCACATAGTGGAAGTACTAGAAAACTCTGGTCTGCAGTGTGCGTTTGTGGAAATGTGGCTGTAATCACTAAATTCTTTTGTCTTTACCAGAAATAAATGCCACTTCTCAGGTACACCTAAAGAGATGTCATCGTATTAAAAGTAATTGGAGATTACAATGAAATTTTAGTCTTAAGAAAATTTTGGGATTGTTCTTTTTTTTTAATATATATATTTTTTATTGCTTAAAGTATTACAAAGAGTATTACATATGTCTCCTTTTTTTCCCCGCCCTTGACAATCCCCTGGCCTCCCCTACCCCCCAGTGTCTTATGTCCATTGGTTATGCTTATATGCATGCATACAAGTCCTTCGGTTCTCTTCCCCCCGCCCCCCTCCTGCCCCCCAACCCTCCTTGGTCTTCCCACTGTAGTTTGATTGTTCTTAAAGATGATATAAAATTGGATTTCTTTACAGGTGCCAAAGACCGTTCTGAGATCTATGAAGCATTTGAAAACATCTATCCCATTCTAAGGGGTTTTAAAAAAGCCTGAGTATATCACTCAACATCTCAAAGTATATTGATGAGTATGTGCATAAGTCCAGGACAGAAACAACTGGATTTTTCTACCTTTAATTGTAGATGTTCCATGCACATTTTGACTTATTAAAAGGTGATTCTATGTGAAATGAAGAAAGCTTCTTATTTGAAATGACTCTTGTATGTTATTTTTAAAACAAGTAAACTTATTTCAGCATGTGAGAGATTTAAGGCCTTGCTAGCATGATTTTGTAGCATCATTAAAATTTAATGTTCTGCTCTGGTTAAAGATGTAGAGCATAACATGTCCTCTGAAAATGTATGGTGATATATAGAAATTTCAAATAACTGCATAAAATAGATACTATCTGTAATATCTAGCAGGAGAGAAATCAATGTGTCTGTTTTTTGCCTTTTAAAATATTGATTAAATGATCCTAGCTATCAGATACAGGCACTGTGAAGGATCCTGTCAGAATACAAATGAAACATGAAAGTCTGAAACCTTGAGGAAAATCACATTTTTTTTTTTTGTTTGAAATATTCTCTCACTTAAAAATAAATCTTAAACTTTCAGGAACTATTCAGATTTAGTGCAAGTTCTATTTTGAAACAGCATGGGGAATTTTTGCTTTTTGTGTGCCTTGATAATCCTACTAGAGGCCCAGTGCATGATATTCATACATGGGGGGGAAGGGGTCCCTCAGCCCAGCCTGCACCCTCTCACAGTACAGAACCCCTTGGGGGATGTCCACCTGCCGGCTTAGGGAAGCAGGCCTAAGCCGGCAGGCAAACATCCCCCAAGTGGTTCTTAGCACTGCTGCCGAGGCGGGAGAGGCTCTTGCCACCACCCCTGCGCTCGCCAGCCGTGATCCTGGTTTCTGGTTGAGTGGCACTCCCCCTGTAGGAGCTCACTGACCACCAGGGGGCAGCTCCTGCATTGAGCATCCACCCCCTGGTGGTCAGTGCACGTCATAGCGACTGGTTGTTCCACCATTCGGTCGATTTGCATATTAGGGTTTTATTATATAGGATTGTGTTAAAAGAGATCAGATAAGACTAAGAGGATGGAGCAAAGGGTTTAGATTCAAGACCTAATTAGTTTGTGGAGTCATCAGCATTTGATGGAGATGTGGAGGTTAACAGGGAGGGAAAAGGCTAACATGACTCATAGCCCCAAGTGGTAGTGATTATGTCTTTCCCAAGAGGAGGAAACAGATTTGTGAGGAGAGCGAGCTGGTGGCCATGGTACATCATTGCTGCCTAGCGGGCAGTTATGAACCTCTAGGTGTGGAACTTGGGAGGGAAGTCCCTGCTAGAGAGAGAATTTAGGGCAGTTATCAGTTGACAACCTCCCAAAATAATCCTTGGGAATCACTAGTCTAGATAATTTGACCTATAAGCCCACTTTTCTTTTTTCCTTCTGTGGCTTAGGAGCATATTCAAACACTAATTACAGTACTCTTGTTAACAATCTTATGACCCACCTTATTTACCCCTCCCTGGAAAAGAAACTGGGAGTAATCCTATTTAGGTTATTTTCTATCTAGTTCAAATTCTTTCTCAGAGCATGGCCCAGACAGAGTGGGTAGGGGAGGAATGTTGGCCATTACTTTAAAATTATCTTTTCAGAAAGATAAAAAGGTGATTTCTACGTTCAGTATCTGTTAACAATCTTATGACCCACCTTATTTACCCCTCCCTGGAAAAGAAACTGGGAGTAATCCTATTTAGGTTATTTTCTATCTAGTTCAAATTCTTTCTCAGAGCATGGCCCAGACAGAGTGGGTAGGGGAGGAATGTTGGCCATTACTTTAAAATTATCTTTTCAGAAAGATAAAAAGGTGATTTCTACGTTCAGTAGTGTGGCTGTTTCCACTGGTTAGCTATTTGTAAAATATTATCAGATTATTAAACGTGCTCACTTATAATTCTCACGATGCTGGTTAGGTAGGTACATCTCCATTAAGCAGATGAGAACACAAGCCAAGAGAGGTTTGGAATTTGCCCCAAATCACACAGCCATTAAGGAAGTGGGTGAGCCGCAATGAGACCTCATTCCAAGACCCAGCCCTTCACCAACCTTGTTTGGAGTCGTTTTAGCCAAATTTTAAAGCATCAAGCGAATTAAAGGAAGTCCCTTATTTTGTTCCCAACCCGTTTTCCCAGACTCCTTGGGGCATCGTATGACTGACTATTTCTGGCACGAGTTAGAGACGTAAATCTGTGGCCTTGGCACGATCCCGCGACGATGACATTTTGTTGGCCGACTTGCCCCCTCTAACAGAACTTCTGCTTCGGGACACGCCGCCCCTCCGCGGCCGGGAAAGGCAACGGCGCCCCGCCCCCGGGAGGCGG